CAAACCAATTTCATCATATTTCAACAGTTTAGAAGTTTCCTGACTCTTTAAAGAAACTGTAAAATTTATTTATTCTTTAAGGTATCAATCTAGATCAATTCTTGAAGTGTATGAAATATTCATTTCATAACATTACATTTATAATTTTCATGTTATATAACCTCTATAATCAGTATCTTATATAAGATAATCCACTTGAAACTAAGTATCAATATGTGTGTGTGAAAGAGTTAAAACGTTTATAAAAAAAAGGAAAATATGATCCATTTATCACTAACATAATACATATTAAATTGTAACTAATCAATAATATAACCTATTTTCTTACCTAATCATTACTATCAGGATGAGTGTATTTTCTTTGGAATAATATTCAATATATTAAATCTATAGGCTAATTACTTTATTAGTAGTATTCTTAAAATTAATAAATTAAATAAATTTCAGTTTAATAGTCGAGTAATTAAAAAAGAAAAAAACAAAAAAACAAAAGAAAGGAAAAAAATTTATGACTAATAAAGACCTCAGGCAATTTGTCAATTTTATATTTCATCTTACATATTTAGTTTCATTATCTATTTAATGCCAATAGAATAGTGACATTATATGTGACATATTTGTATTGTAAACGAGACAGGAAGTGTATCATAACATAACGTACAGTAATTATAATGAGTGAATATGTTTCCAAATCATTCCATAAAAAATTATATTTTTAATGTATATATTACCCTATATAACTATTATTATGTATATCCCATAAATGGTATTCATTCATTAATTCATGAATAAATAAAACTAAGGTAATTAGAGCATTAATGTCAGTTAGAAATTGATTTTCTTGTTGTCAGTCAATTTCATTTATTATTTTGTACATATGAAACTTATTTATTTATTTTTTTTGAAAATTTCTAAAACATTAAAAGAGAAGAAGTGACTTACACTAAGTCACGAAACGTCAGAAAATATATTTTTTCTACTCATTGGGATATTACAAATATATTAATTTATTTATAACAATCTACTTAATGCTCAGTCTATTCGAAATTATCAAGTCAAGCCTTAGTAATGATACCTACAGAAAAATTATTGTGGAAGTATGTAATTGACTTTAATGATTAGCTTGAATTTAAAGAAGAAGAATGTATTTGGAAAAAGTAATATATTTCCTTGAAAAAGCTTTGACTAGATTGTTAGGCGAAATGTTGAACTTACTTCAAATTCTTCCGCTGAGATTTTACAAATACATTCATCTTCTTTAATGTTTCACATCAACTCAACTCCTAAATACTGTGAAACTATTCAATCAAATTTAGACAAAAGTTTTTATTTATTAGGTTGAATTTAGTTTAGGAAATTAAACCAGTTTTGGATAACAATCAGTGTGTCTTAATTTAATGTAATTAACCAAAGTTTATTCATAACAAGATAGGTGTTAAGTCCTTAGAATAGTTGATTGTTCTTCTTCTTCTTCTTAGGTGTCAATTTTATGAACTACTTCACTAAGTGATATATGTTCAGGACTTGGTAATGGTATTTATCAATGAGTATAAATGACTTTATATCTATTGATTTTATCTATCCGAAATTCCTTGGAATATCATTGGAAAGTATTTATTTATTTTGAAAGTCATGGTGAGCGATTTAATCTAGAGAATATAGTCAGTATTGATTGCTAGAAAGCCTGATACATGGTGTTGTGTATTTAAGCATATTTACTATCCTCTGTGTAACGCAAGCAAACAATCATTAATTGAAGTACAAGGTGTTTCTTTACACGTTACTTAGTTGAAGTAGGCTTTTTGTGTCGATTATCTTTTGTTATTCCTCAACTCATATCATGAACTACAGGATCGAATAGTTACCTTTATTAACCACATGTCAAAGTTGATTGATAGAATTTAGTTAGAATGCATAAATGGACAGTATAACTCGTGCAATAATGCAACTGACGTTTCTGATGTATCGTTCAAGTTTGATACTGATTATATGTTTTTATAATTGGTATGGAACATTAATTCAACATTTCTTGATTTTTATCAGTCTGATTTCAAGTGTGTTTTTCATTCGTTCTGGAAAGTGAGTTAAAAATAATAATGTAATAGACAAGACCTAGACATTTAATTGTTGAGAATTGAATTGTCGTTAAGATTTATAGAGTTGGCTTAAAAGAGAACAATGCTAGATGGGAAGTTTCATTCAAGTGAAATACAAGTGTACATTGAATAAATCCTATTTAATTGTATTTATTATCATCAGAACTTTTGTTCTAATTTTAAGCTAAACTGATCTCAGTAAGTACTTGTTATATCCCGACGAGAATTATGCATGGCAACTTGTAAGAACTATTTGTGAACCAATACGATACATATATTTTTATCGTATAATTGTTAAGTAACTAAAATATGCATATTCATGTTCCGCTTATTATAAGCTTTATTTTGACTCATAGACTATTACTATACGATTTACCGTTCTTGAGTTGTATCCGGTCTATTAATTACCGTCCCTCACATTCACAGTTACTTTTGGCTTTATCTTGTACAAATTTTGTTTTCTATTTTGTGGTACGATGTGGTCTGTTTGGTTTGTATATAAACCTAGTATGTTTGAAATACATGATTCATATCACGGAGGTTGGGACTGGTAGTCTAGACTCGACAGGAAGGGCTAGATAGGAAGAAGGACCTATAAGGACTCTAGACTGCCCGTACGAGTTTATGCGTCGTTGGCCCGATCGATAAATTACTGTTATTTAATTGGCGGTATCATTACGTTATATATTTATAGGACTCAAGGCCACAAGTTATAACAGTACTATCATTAATATATGAGATTTTTCAGTGAAGGATTCTACTGGGTCCTGCAACTTAACTAATCTTCTAAACACTATTCCAATGCTTGTTTTTTGTAAAATATTTATGGACGGCAAATCTATTACATTCCGAAACATCTTCCCAACATTATTCGCACATATCGTATGAACGTTAACATCAAAGTCTTTTCTTTTAAAGAACTATAATAATGATCTACAAACTAAAATCTTCAAATCTATAAACTCTTGTTCAAGAATAACTAAATAAAGACTGGTAACGACTATTAGTAAAGAGCAAAAGTGAAATCTGCCACTTCAAATGACATCATAGTTATTTGTTAATTATTGAGCATTACGCAAGCTATCAGAAAAAAGTATAACAGACAGTGTGTTTAGAGGCTTTTATTATTGTCTTCATAGCTTGTTAATATTCATCAGTGACAGGTAAGCGGAATTTGAAAAAAATCATAGTTACTTAAACATAAGAAACACATACATTTTAACCATAGCCAAAGTATCTTCATTAGCCTAATAACTAGGTTGCTATTTGTTCATGAGAAAAGGCCGAATAGTTGACAACTAAATGTTTAGCGTTATTTCTCAATAATAAGAATAATAAATCCAGCTCGGATTAATAAATCTCCTGAATTTTAGGTAATAAAAAGTAGTCAGAGGAGTATCTAACGGTCTCTAATATTCGAAAAGGTAATTTACCTAATATATTTCATTATTTATTAGACGTCAATATGATATATATATATATATATATATATATATATATATATATATATATATGTTCAGCTTACTCAATCTTGTTTAGTGTACTTAAAGTTAAGTTTCCCCGGTACAGTTAAGTGATTTTATGTCCTAAAACAGATGTCACTATAGTTGAAGGTATGTTTCTTAAGTATTGTTTTTACATTCAAAATTTCAAGGAATTTATCCAGGGTATTAAGATTTGGGTGTTCGTTTTTTGACTTATTTATATTTAGTTTTATTATTCTGACTACTGACAGTAGTAAAGATGATTATTTGAACTATTTGTTTGTGAATAAGATATTTCATTGCGATGATGAACCGCTTAATATTAGACAATCATTGAAAACCTGGTAGCACTGGACCAGGATTTTTTAGGGCTTCATTCTTTTCGGTTACGTGAAAGTCCTTGATATATTCGAAATGTACATGATTTTCTTAAGCTGTAGACAGAAGTAAAATAATTCACTTAATATTGTTTTACTTGAATCTTCCCATTGATTTATAGGACTGATGTTGATCAGTCTCTTATTGGCATATGTACATACTGTGCGTATTGCCTCGATATCGTCTTAATTTACAAGCACTATAAGCAAAGAGCAACTATCCATCTTTGCTTATATTGCCAAGTGAATTAAACTTCACCCCATTGCACAAGCAAATGATATTACTTTGTTAGTGATATGATATTATTACTGCTATTGACTGTATGATGATAAGGTGAGACGTTGACTAAGGACTTTAAAGAAATGACTACTTTAGGCGTAGACCTCATGGTTTAATTCAAAGGGTGATCACAAACATATGATTGTTTCTTGTTTACGACTCTTTAGTGGGGGTAGTATTTAATGAATTAACAGGTTGAAATTTGATAATGGTACATTTTTACAGCTGCTGTCATTTTATGATATGACGAATGGTTAACACTATCGTATCTCAGCATGTAGAACTTTGAAAAACATCGTTCCTCTTAGTTTACTAATATAGCCGCGAGTTAATCATTATTCATTTTAATGGCTTGTTAGCGATTCGTTAAACTGGAAAACATCTCTCGTGAAAGACATAAACCAGTTTGGGTACTAGTCAAGTGTTATCTATCAGTTTCATTTGTACGCTGTTGTTAAGTCTCAGAATCCAAGTGATCTAAATGTAATAAATGATTCCTGATTCACCATAGATGTAAATTCTTTGTAGTATCGATTTTAAGGTGATGGTTTAATTGTAAGTTGGCCAACTTAAAGTATTCTCTTTATTTCTAAACAAAATAAAGCTTAGGTCTTTTTTGTATCTTACAGATAATGCGGATTGTAATTATTCAAGCGTTATTCAACCCGTCATTTATGGAGGTCATCAGTTAATAGTAAATCAGAATGGAAAAGTGGATTTTATGAAACCAGAAATTATTAGTATCAGAAGTCAATCACAAAACATGCCACCTCATAAAACTCCTGAATTTAAACAATCAGTGGAAGATAATACAAAAGACAAAAGACAAATAGCACAGAATCACTTTTTTCATAGTGTGCAAATTCCAGAAAGTCTAATACAATTTCTTCTTGATCGATTTGTTTCAATAAGTTATACTCTTCATGGATTTAGAACAGTAAAACCAAGGCATTTATGCGGTGGTATACTTATTAGCAATGAATGGGTATTAACTGCAGCTCATTGTATTAGTCCATTTCAAAGGTATTCTAATATTTATATTTATATTTTTCTCACTATATAATAGCAGTATTAATAGTCTTCAAATATCAAAATTACGTCAATACATGGATAAATCATCAATTCATTTTAAACCTAATGATAAAGCAAAATTAATTGATACATTAATTCTTCATCCAAATTTTACACAAGGCCAAAGTTTATCACCAGATATTGGTTTAATTAAATTAAAAAACTCTATTCTTGATTCACTTACTGATGAGATTTATAATTACGAAGAATTAAAAATGTTTTTATTAATAAATGATAAACTACTAATAAGTAGTCAAGAATATATATGTATAGTTGCAGGTGTTGGTCATTTAAAATATCGCAATATAATGAATACAAATTCTAATAATTGTATAAGTTTATGATTAAGATAAATACATAATTGATTCATTTTATTTAGTATAGATTTTCATGTTGCATTTGTACATCTCGAATCATGTAATAAATTATGGAAGAAATTACAATTAGAAAGAGAAATAAAACAAATCCAAAGTAATGAACAACAACAAGAATATGAGTGGATAAATATTTGTAAACAAAGTTTGATTGATAATTCTATGAGTCAAAAGTGTCCTTTTAGTTATTTATGCGCTGGTGGAAGATATGTGGATGGTGATACATGTCAAGGAGATAGTGGTGGACCACTTTTATGCATTGAATCACAAACTTATTCGAAATTTCTAAAAGTAAGAGGTTTATTTTAAACACGTTTTGAAGTGGATTTTTTAAAATAATTGAGTGACTAAAATGCAGTGAAATGTTTTAAAGAAAGAATCAATCAATCAATTCAGGACTCAGTAGCTAAATGGATAACGCAATGGCTTTTAAAGCGAACGGTACTGGGTTCGAGTACCAGAGTGGCCATGAAATCTGAGATGCAGGTACATCTAGCTGACAAGTCCCAACTAGGACGAATTACGCTTCCTGAATTTCACTGATAGCCACTTTCCATCTTTACTTAAAAGGCAATATCGAAGCAATCCTCACAGGATGCATATATGCCAATAAGAGACTGATCAATTGCAGTTCTAAATAACAATGGGAAGATACAAGTAAACAACACCAAAGAAATTCAAGTTGTATGGTTTTCATACAGTTTAATAAAGTTAAACGTAAAAAGGGTACAGAGATTGAAGAAAGAAGCTAAAAGCAGGAAGAGATAGAAAATTAATATATTAATAATTCATTAAGCCACAGTTGAATTATACTGATGAGTGATATCTCAGATATTTGTGTATTTTAAGACTGTTCATATTTAGCTTATTTTGTTCAACGTCAGTGATGTGGAAATCAAAATCAATGTTAAACCTTAACATAGTACACTCTATAGTTAGTTAATATTTGAGTTTATGCTTACTAAAATATAAGCAAATCACGTTTTTCAGATATTAACCAAAATCGATGAAAAATCTTAATACTACTACTACTACTACTATTACTACTATTAATATTACTACTAATATAATTGGAGATCTTGAATTGACAATCTAATTGTCTTAAACATATTTATTGCCAAGAAAGAAGAGCAGTCTTTTACGCTAATTTCGTTTATTGATTAACTGCCTATTGTAATACTTTAGAACTTTGTGGTTTTAATGAGTTTTATTCCACATAACTTATTGCTACATTTTGAAAAATGAAGTAGATAATCATCTACGTAAATTGTTAAGGTTCTCTCTTAATTTACTGGAATGACAAATATTTGTGTTAAATCGTATATTTAAGCACTCAAAGTATTAGTATTTCGTGTAAAATTTAGAGCTTTTCATGCGACTGTTAACCAAACCAATTATACATAGCAAATTTGAATAGGTAAGATGATGTTATATAAATTATTAGATTTGTCTTTATTGGAGATCGATCCTAGATGAAGGATCATCGCGAACTAGTAAGCACTGGACTGAAGTCTCATCTCTGTTTGGGACTACCTATCGGTGACGGAATAGGACCATACATCAAACTGAACCTAGAAACTCCGTGCTTCATGTCAAATGTATTACTTTTGAACTACAGAGTCGAAGTTCATTGCTTGACATTTTGAAATTCAGTCAATTCGCTGTGCAACTTATGGGCAAATCGAATTCGTTGCCGAAATTAATATTACTTTTGGCCATAATAAGGTTCACTAGTAATGCTAGCTTTTATCATAGGGCATTATTATCTGCAAAGCTATCTGTTACAATTAGTAGAAAAAATGATGAAGACAAATCAATTGTCGACTATCTAACGAAGATGTTAGACTAAATTAAAACATGACTGTAAGATATGGAATATCAAACAGCATAACACAATTTTGATTGAGATCATGAATCGTTTAATGTTGGACCAACATTGAAAACCCGGTAGCATAGGATGGTTGTTTCGTCTCATCACGGGACTCCTCAGCAGCGCGCGTCAGAGATTCCGCGTGCGGGAATCGAACCCAGGACCTTCGGTTTCGTGTGCGAATGCTTAACCTCTAAGCCACTGAGCCGACATTCAACGGTGTCTAACTTCAATCTTGCGCAACCCATTGTTTGAGGTGGATAACTGGCTTACAGCTGACCCTGATTGGGCTCCACTAATTAGGGCTTCTCACTAGAACTGTGAAAATACGACAGTCTCTGTGATCCTGCACGTGGATGCGCACCACTGAGTAGCCCCATAAAAGGACGAAAAGTCCGTCCAGTTCTTGAAGGTTTTAAGTGATGGCTCAATATTGATCGATTCATGGTCTTAATAAAAACTCAACAATCTCCACATACCTATAATGATAGTACATTTTATAAATTACTTTATGTTAATCTATTCAGCATATCATAACAACCATGAATTGTTGACTTCATTAGCTTACTAGTAAGTACAGTTTGTTTGGCCTAATTTGCGAATATTGAGACCATTCAATTTCGATCTCTTAGTTAAATATACTGAACTGATATCAGATTATAAGAATTACTACTATTCTATCAATTACATTAATTTTGTGTTCACTGATTGTTTGTAAGTAGTTATTAGAATATTCTAGAGACTGTTCAATAAAAGTTAGACATAACTCCTAAAAATATATATAGTTTTGAGCAAAGATGGATAGCGGCTGGCAGTGGAATCCAGGACGTGCATTTTTTCGTCCTATTTGGGACTCATCAGCTGGTTGTACCTTCCACTGCTAGCCACTATCTATCTTTGCTTTAAAAAAGCTTGTGACTTAAGGCTATATTGAGGCAATCTTCACAGGATGCACATATGCCAACATGAGACTGATCATAAATAAAAATGGGAAGCTACAAGTAAAACAATACTAAGTAAATATAAATAGTTTTGTTTCATATTCTGATCCTCTTTTATTTTTAACTTTGTTTTACTACAAAAAAATATCCTTTAACTATATATACATAAAATATTTAAAAAATAGTTTCTTTTAACCTATTTACCATTCGGTAGAAATAAGGTCATTTCCTAAAATAATCATTAATGTTCTTTTTTGTTGTTGTTGAGAAAAGCAAGATTATTATTTTCACTTATCCACAAACTGGATATGAGACAGCAATGTCTTTTTTCTATTCATTAATTGTATATTATATCCCTTTTGATTGCTTCCTTTTCTATCTCATATATATATATTCCCTCAATCTTCTAACTTTTATGCGAATATGAATAGATTAACTTACCATTCAATATAGCATTGAGTGTAATCAATAGTCCTAAGAGAACCAATTATCAGAAAAGCCTAAGACGAACTCCCTTTATTATTATTATTATTATTATTATTATTATTAAGTATGGATTAGTTAACGAAGTTTAATAGTGATTGCTGTTATTTGTATTATTGAATTCGAAATAATTCAAGCGATAACTATCATTCGAAATATCTCATTCATGTTTCGAAGATTATTATTTACCACATCAGTTTTCATTTGTATATGTTTAGGTACGCATATGCATATAACTTGGCTCTAGGAAATTAAGTAGGTATAAGTAGGAAAAGCATAATGAAAGGTTGGATTTCTTAATAGATGGCTTCAGTAACTTGATTATTTCATTTTTGTATGTATGCCTTTATGTTGAAATTCTTCTTAATAGGAAGGAAGAATTTTTTTTCAAAGGAAATTTAAGATAAACATACACTGCTGATGAGTAACTAATGTTATGTCGATGAGGCTTTAATAAAAGTTGTTTTTTGTTTAATTATGGATGTAATACAGTTGCAAAAGTATGGTACGGAAATTTACCACAGATGAAATGAAAATGGTTTCTTGTCGACATAATTTATTAAGGAATACAACAAAAACACTGAAACTTTTAACATTAAAATAACATCAATCACAATAATATGATGAAATTAAGAAATTCGAAATTAGAAAACATCAATAATTTTAAACAGTGACGATCTTTGATGCTGAATATCCTTGTGGCTTACTAACTACTGTCAAGTCAAACTAGTGGTTATGGAAAGAAGTGTAAGGAGCTGGAGTACACATATCTTAACTTAAAGTAATACCAGTTTGTTTTAAAGTGTTGCATTATTGTGTGAATTGATAATGTCATTTCCAAAATGTTTTTTTAACCCTTAGAAATGGTTCGTTGCCGGTATTGCTTCATCAGGAATTCAGTGTGGTTTGAATGGGATCCCATCAATCTATACACCGATATATCCCTATTTGGATTGGATCGAATCCATTACAGGCTACGGAAAACAGAAACCTTTCGAGTAAATTTTGTGTTTATGACTCGAACTACTTTAATCTATTTCAGTAGCCCTACAGTTACGAAAATATTTATGCAGTTTATCTATTTTGCATGAATTAAAATCGGTTGAATTATTTGATACTTATCTTAGTTCTCTTTCATTGACCGTGGTAGAGTGTTATTTGCACATCTAGTTAGTCAGACCCATCTTATGTCAAGACAGATGTAATTAAGTGACTGCTCTGACTGATATTGAATCTGACACCTATGTGAAAAACCATGAATCATGTGCCCATATGTTAGTTGATAATGTACATTGGTATAATATTTATTGATGAATAAATTCAGAGATTTATAGTTCCTTGCGGTCAGGCTGTTTGCTTGTTATAGATGGCTCAGCTAATTTTTCAGTCTGACTTCATTTTTCATATTTCTTGGTATGAGATGTTCAGCCTATGACATGCAAAAGCATCAGGATCAAACATAAAATCACTTTATCGTTTGAATCCACCAGATTTACCTCCAGCACTAGTCGAAAATTATGTTTTAGTGGCATATTGATGGTGAAATGCCGCGGTTTCTTCATAAAGTTTACCTTCAATAACCATATCTGACAACAGATTGTTAAGCGGACGCATAATTAGGGGAGCTACTCAAGTGAGTTAATAAACTACAGCCAAGTCTTATGCATTTATATTGAGGTATTTAGGTTTTCAAGCCCTCAGGAACATTGTTACTTCTAATGTAGGTTAATTGAAATATATGCATATGTTATCTTATTTGAGAACCACTGATCACCACATAGACGCTTCTTCTTATTACTCTTAATCTACCTCTAACACCCTACAGAACTTAGGACTGTCATTTCTTGTGGCAAGTTCACTACCTTTGGACCGTTAAGTCAAAGTCCTTTAGTTCTTAGTTCTAATGGCAGTAATTTTGGATTATATCAGCCGAAAAATTCGGTAGTCATTTCATTTTCTGAGAAATGAACTAAAGAGTGGTCAAATTTAAGTCAGTAGTGTCTATTTATTTCTAAGTGATATGTAATCCTCAGTCTGTAGTAGTGGTCTATCTATATCACTATGCTACAATGAACTGGTTTCTCATAAAAGACAGATATTAACAATTAAATTACGACTTACGATAGTAATAGTGACACACTGTATCAGAAACAAGCTGTGTGATTTCTCCTTCGTCCTTCACGCATTTTGTCTTCTTGTATATTTGAGAGTTCATGTATTAATTAGATATTCAGATGGATTATTGAGCCAATGAACTTCTTTAGACATATATTATTGGTATGGATAATGACAAATATGCTAAAGATAATTCTGTTTATTTACGAAGGAATATTTTGAAGTGGGAGAGAAATGCTCTAGCTTAAAAAGTGTTTTTAAGGTGTTGTATTTATGATCCTGAACGATATAGTTGTGATTCTTTCATTACCTTTCTAGGAAATAATATCGGTATAAGCTTAAAAGTAAATTTTTAGAACTGCTGTACGTGTGGTCGTTAGCTCACCCTATCAACTTGGGATACAGATGATGACTTAATTAGAATCCCAGAGGAACAGAGGATGTTTCATTATGGATGAAAACAAGACATAAAGTTCAGATAAAGAACTCTCTTCCTAGTTTCCTCAAAAAAATAACAACAAATAATCTATATAATGCATTCATTAATCAGCTAAATTGATTGAAACTGAGTGCTTGTAAGCACGTGGCCGTAGCTAATGATTTTCTAATAATTTGCTCTACCTGTGGATTTGTAAGTAGTGTACATTTTGACACAAAATTATGACATTTGGACAAAGCAAGACAAATCATATAACGTAATTCGAAAATATTTGTGAAATAAAATTTTGTTATGTGGCATTCGACAATGACTAAATAAATAGTAATTGCCAGGATTAATTTATGGGCCAATATTATATACATATTATTTTGTATAATTATCATTTAACTAGATTACATACATATAATTATATACATTCCTTTCATCATTAGCTTTCGATTAACCCATTAACAACTGTTGTATGATATGCCATTCTTAATCTGTTCCAAGTTTATTATTCACAGTATTCCCTACTCACTGCCACATTTTGACGTGATTATGTGTAATTGTTGTTTCTCATTTCAAGGTGTGATGTGATCATGTATATCTGCATGTAAACTACTCATGCTTGAAACATAATAATCGTATTGTGCAGGTTGATTACTGTATTCTGAACTTTATAGGCAGGAAAGATAGGGAAGCTAGGGTATTAAAGACCTATAAAAGTTTAGTGTTGAATCAAGTTTATTAGTGCTGAACAGATTCCGAATGGTGTATTTATCAGGTGATGTTAGTGAGTGACCATAAGTCGTAACAGGTTACTTTAATGATTATCGAATTTATAGTTGACTGGAGTAAAGACTATCATTTATAGAAGGATAAATCGGTCAGGAGGTGTATTACGTTATCAGGTACGATTCGAAACGGTGAAAGTGACGATGATTTGCTGGGAAAGAAAGTTCATAGACTTTCGAAACTATTACAAATAAAGATTTGTTCTGGTTTTAATATAGTGAAAATTCCTATTTGGACATTTGGTAAATACAGAAGAAACGAATTGAGCGAAGAAATTTCTTTTCAATTATATATGATTTACAATAATGATATAATACTTATCGAGTGGATACGTTACGTAATAATTACATAATGATATTTAAATTAACATTGACGACTTGGAAGAAAGATGATTATTAATATTCAAAGTAATTATTAAATCAATAAGTTGCTACGTTGCATAATATATGAAAAAGAGAAGGAACAGAATTTGTAATGGATGGTCAATAGAATAGTAGTTACGTAAGAATCAAGAGATGAATGTTGAGAAATTATAAAGTTCAAAAAACAAACAACAAAAACAAAATTAAAACTAAAAATAAAGCACATGTGAGAAGCAGGGGAAATAGTTCTGTTGAAGGAAATCTTATACCGATGGCCAAGGCAACGAGAGTGGTTGAACAAATTTTTTTTGAGTGCAAAGGTTACGTTTGTGAACACGGATTGCACATGGCTTCCGCAATGTGCAAAAGGCGCATTCGTAAACCATGTGGTAAATTTAATGGGATATGGTAGATAACCTTAAAAGCTTTATTCAATTAAACTTGGTGACCTGTGTCAACCAAATGAGCAAGAATAGAACTTTTAATCACTTTTACCTGTCCTTTATTTAACCACGACGGATGATGTTCTGTAATACGGTGACGAACTTGCCGAATTGTACGCCCTATATAACTGGCTCCACAGGAGCAGTTGAACCGATAGATGCACATGGATTTGGCGAATTCAGGTAGTCTGTCTTTGTTGGCCGTTCTTATTTTGGGGTGGTTGTAGAAGATAGCATTCAGTCTGGATGCATTAAATGTTTTTTGTACTGCTCTTTTTAGTTTCTGAGTCACGATTTCTTCAGTAGTATCATTTATGAATTGTAATTTTATGAACAGTACCTTCTTAGGGACCGTGGGTATCTTTGCCCTTGTTTTCATCCCCATCATAAGTTTGTCGATGAATTTCATAGGGTATCCATTCATACTAAGTAAGTTCCGAATTTTGGCCAATTCTTCTTCAATGGTGTCTTTCGAACAAATGATTCTGGCACGATGGGTCAAGATCTTTATCATGTTCCTTTGTATCTGATTGGAACTGCACTGTAGAAATAGGTGTATTGTCCTGTTGCCGACTTTCTGTGTAATCCCAATTTTAAAGTTCCATCTGCTCCTCTAGTTAGTTGGACATCTAAAAACGATATGCTATTGTTCTGTTCATCTTCTGATGCAAAATTAATTGATGGATGAACGTTATTAAATATATTAAGTAAATTGTCCTTATCATGTTCTTTTTCTAATACTACGAAAGTATCGTCTATATAGCGATAATAAGTTGGTAAATGGCTAATTGTGCTTTTAAGTGGTCCATTTTCCAGTTTTGCAAGGAAAATATCCACCAGTAGAAGGCCCAATGGTGACCCCATGGCAACTCCATCTAGTTGTCTATAATATTCGTTGTCAAATCTGAATCGGACATTCATTGTGCATTTAAAAATTAACTGTTTTATTGCGGATGAGGGAATCACGGTTTCTATGCGCCTCACTGTTAGTTCATTGCAAATAAAATCTACCGTTTCAAGTAGTGGAATGTTAGTGAATAAGGATGATACATCAAGTGATATCATGAAATTGTTCTTGACCGATAGATTTTTTTATATTCTCCACAAATTCAAAGGAATCCTTGGCACTATGCTTGACAATTTCTTTGTGTAATGGTTTGAGAATTTGCACCAACCATTATGCTATAGTATGATACGCTGAGTTATTCATATCTAAAACTGGTCGAAGAAGCAAGCCACTTTTGTGTATTTTTGGCAGGCCATATAGCCTTGGTGTAATCGTTCCTGTAGGTTTCAACATTTCGAACTCTTTTTCTGAAATAAAACCTTGCTGTTTAATTTCTTTCAGTCAATCTGTTAGTTGTTTTTCTATCTTGTCTACTATGTCGTTCTTCACAACCAGTTTCTGAAATTCGCTTTTACCATTTAAAAGTGCTTTCATTTTGTTTATATAGTTATTTTTATCCATGAGTACTATCCCATGACCTTTGTCCGGTTTCGTGATTAATAAATTGTCATTAGTTTTAAGTCTTTTTTAAAGCTTCTATATGTTTTTTCGTCAAAATCCCTTTCATATTATGTCCATGATTTAAGTATTTAAAGAAACAGTCGACTAGTGTTGATTTAAATCTTTCGACATTATCTTTTGATGAAGTTACTAGTTCTGCCTTTTGAGCATAAAGATTTTCAAATTGAATTTCAACGTTCATATTATTGGCTGTTTTCTTAAAGTCACAAAACTTAGGGCCTAATGATAACGTTTTATTCAATATGTGCATTTGATAGTTCTGATTATCACTTGTCATTTTATTTTTAATCACGCCTATATTGCAATTCAACACGGTTTCTTTTCGTTACATGTCTGGTTTG